TCATTGTATGGCAGAGGCCAATGGGGGTTGATTTACTAAAACTCCATAGAAACCAATCAGCTTCCAGGTTTTATTGCCAAGCCTAATTGAACAAGCTGAAGTTAGAAGCTGATTGGTTAATATGCACAGCTGCAGCAGATTCTGAGTGCTCCAGTTTTAGTAAATCTACCCCAATGTGTATAGGTATAGTACTATAATACAGTCAGGGCTGAGGAATAATGAACCATTGTTGGTATCAGTGGCAGAAATTATGCCCCATGTTGGTGTCAGTGAGGTGAATAGTGCCTTTTATCAGACACACACCTCACGATTTGGCCCCAACCACTGCTTTCTTCTCACAGTCTGTGATTGACAGCAGCAGAAGCTAATTGATCCTATGGCTGCTGCTTCATGTCTTGTGAGGAGAGATTGAGGGGAGAGCAGCTACTCTCAGGTACAGCACTGAATCAAGATCAGGCCCAGGTAAGTATTTGGGGGGGGAGGGTGCTGGATGGGGAACTGCATACGGAAGGGTTTTTACCTTAAAGTGGAGTTCCACTCAAAAGCGGAAGCTCCACTTATTTGCATCCTCCCCCTCCACTGCCATATTTGGCACCTTTTAAGGGGGGGGGAGAGGATACTTGTGACGACGCCCTGTAGGAGGGGCGAAACGTGTTGATGTAACTTCCGGTTCTGACCTTGAACGTGTGACGTCATATCCGGTGAGTGGAATGCACGCTGATGCGGCATTCCGCGGCCATCTTTAGTGTGGGAAAGACAACCTTATTTCCCCACTGTCTGATTTGCCGGAAAAGTCAGAGGGGCTGTGCAGCCTGTCTAAGGAGTCCTGATCTATTTAAAAAAGGCTTGTTATTCATTTTTAAAATGTGAGTGCATTGGAGGCATCACTTTACTATTAAAAAGTTTTTTTATGCAGTATTGCGCTATCTGGTTATCCTTTATTTTGCATTTTCATCCATCCATCCATGAGTGAGAATTTGAAGGAAATCAAGGAGGAATCATTAGTGGCAGCTTGGGAGGCTTTCATGTCTATATAAGCTGGTTATAAGTTCATTGAATCACCCTCATCCATCCATCCATGAGTGAGAGCTTGGAGGAAGTTAAGGAGGGATTATTATCGGTTGTTTGGGAAGTTTTTATGTCCATGTAAGCTGGGTATATATCTACCCAAAGTGAGTGCAATGAAGGTCATTTAATACATTTTTTTCTGAGCCTCATACAGTATCACACTATTGGCATTTTCTTTTATATTTTATATCGCCCTATATGGAATCATTTTTGGAAGGAGATTCAGTAAGGAATCGATAAAGGGAAAAACATCTGAGGAGACTGCACTCCACCTTTAAGCCTGTTTTGATTCTCAAAGCCTTATCAGCTTGAGAATACACTTTATCTGGTGAGTGTGGGGGAAAAGATTCACCACGGATGATGTGAGCACGCTGGAAAATGTATGAAATTGTTTTCTTTTTTTCACTTTATCACATTTTTCTGGGACACTGGACTTTAATTTGGGACTTTTTTTAACTTATATCTTATATCTTATTTTGACTTATATAATTTTAAATTGTATTTTTTATTATTTGCGCTGTGTTACCTTATGAGTTTTGTTTAATGTTTTGTAATTTTTTGAACAGCAGCATTTATTTTGATTGATTGTTATTTCTTTGGTGCAAGGTTTCAATTTATTATTTGTGTGTTTTTGGCAGGTACCTGCTCCCACTTCCGGCTCAGTTCACCATGGTGAAGTGAGCCAGAAGTTCGGCCCCTTCCTCCCTCGTGTAGTCTCCTGGGAACTTTCACAGGTCCCAGAAGACTACCGGACCAATTGGGAGGCGTAACACGACTCGCGCATGTGCAGTGGGCACCAGGCTGTGAAGGTGTAAGCTGTCACAGCCTGGTGCCCACAGTTGAGATGCTGGCGCCATGGAGGGGAGAAGGGACAGCGCGGGTGAGAGCATCGCTGGACTCTGGGACAGGTAAGTGTGTGTTTATTAAAAGTCAGCAGCTACAGTTTTTGTACCTGCTGACTTTCAATAAACACAAAAATGTCTGGAACTCCACTTTAACGCAGAGAATGTATTGTGGTAAAAAAAAAAAATTACAATCACTTTGATGGTAGAGAAAAATAACCACTTTATTCTTTCTACAGTCTGTAACTGTAATAGACAAAGCGTTGTCATCTATGTGGCTCTGCTGTATACTGGAATTGTGTAATATATCTGAAATCAACATGGACAGAAGTACAAGTCTTTAGCAGGTAAAACAGCTCCTCAATATGTATTTCATCTGTGTATTTAGCTATTTGCTGAGAGTTCAGCTTTTAATCCTTTTCGCTATATCATATACTCAAAATGGTAAACATTTGGCCAAAAATGAGTAATCAAGGGGTATAAAGTTATATGAAACATATATGAACTTCCATGGTGATTTTCTTCAACACTTCTCATCTAAAGACGCTCCTGTCTAGGTGATAACATCCCTGGACGGCCTGGACGTCTCTGTGAAATGGCTGCAGTTCCAGCTTTGTTTAATTTTTGTATCACTTTTGCTACAGTATTCTGACTGATAATTAAAGCTTTGCTGATCTTGTAGCCTTTACCTTTTTTGTGTAATTATTTTCTTTCTCAGGCCTTGTGACATTTCTCTTACATTTAGTGCCATTGCTGACAGCATGAAATGGAAAGGGGTTTTCTTTGTTACGTAACGTCCTGTTATAATCAACTGTCTGCTGTACACCTGTTTATTGAATAAATAAACTCACCTGGAGTTGAATTCTTGTTAACTAGTATTTTGTTGTCTAAAATCTAGATTTGCTCTTAAAACCTTTGTTGGGGTGTATTCATTTTTGCAACATAGCCTTGAAATTAATTTGTTAGGAAAATACTTTTTTGTGTGTGCAAATTACCAAATCTTGTTTGCAATCAATGGCCTGCATTTGTGGGAGTATTTTGTAGTATAGTGTCCCATAAAAAATGTTGATTCTGAAAGGAAAGTACAGTAAATGTTTTCTGACAAATCTGTTGTGGTGTACTCATTTATGCTGAGCACTGTATCTAAATCTTCTAGTGCAGAGGTCACTAAATGGCGGACCCCGATCTGGAACCGGACCGAGGGTCAGTCCCGTCCTGACCACAGCCACGCCACAGCCACCGCCGGATGCCCTCTCTCGGGCTCAGGCCCGGACTGGCCATAGGGCACAGCGGGCATTTGCCTGGTGGGCCGGGGCCGCCGGGCTTAAGATGACCGGGCCACACAGCAAGAGGTAAGCGGCGACCGTGGTCTGAACACGGCTAATACAGACCATGGCCGCTGCTTACCTCCTACTGTGCGGCTGTGCCTAAAGCAGGGCCGACAAGAGGAACGGAAGTGATGGCTCCAGATGACAAGCAGGAAGTTCTGCCGACACAGGGACACCTCCTTGGCTGGCCACTGCACTGAACGGACAATGGTGGTCTCTTTTCTTCACCCGCCGCCACACTGTGATTGCTCTGTAGTGCCAGTGGATGGGGCTGTCTCTGCTAGACAGGATGTTTCTTTGCTGGAGGGGCTGTCTCCTTGCTGGATGGACTGTCTCTTTGCTGGATGGGGCTGTCTCTTTGCTGGAGGGGTTTTCTCTTTGTTAGACAAGCTGTCTCTTTGCTGAATGGGATGTTTCTTTGCTGGAGGGGCTGTTTCCTTGCTGGACGGGCTGTCTCTATACTGGAGGGGCTGTCTCTTTTCTGGATGAGCTGTCCCTTTGCTGGATGGGCTGTCTCTTTTCTGGAGGGGCTGTCTCTTTGCTGGAGGAGCTGTCTCTTGCTGGATGGGCTGTCTGTTGAATGGGGTGTCTCTTGCTGGATGGGCTGTCTCTTTGTTGGACAGCTGTCTCCTTTCTAGACTGGCTGTATCTTTGCTGGATGAGCTGTCTCGGCTGGACGGGCTGTCTCTTTGCTGGACGGGCTGTCTCATTGCTGGATGGGCTGTCTCTTTGCTGGGCGGACTATCTCTTTGCTGGATGGGGTGTTTCTTTGCTGGATGAGCTGTCTTTTTGCTGGATGGGCTGTCTCTTTGCTGGACGGCGATGTCTCTTTGCTGGACTGGGCTGTCTCTTTGCCCAGTTGGGTCCAGCAAAGAGACATCCCAATCCAGCAAAGAGACAGCCCAGTCCAAGAAGGGACATCCCCATCCAGCAAAGAAACATCCCTGTCCAGCAAACAGACATCCTGTGTTTGCTATATATTTGCTGTGTTGTTAGGGGCACTGTGTTGTGTTAGGGGCGCTGTGTTGTGTTAGGGCACTATGTTATGTTAAGGGGTGCTGTGTTATGTTATAGGGCAGCTGTGTTGTGTTAAGGGGTGCTGTGTTGTGTTAGGGGTTCTGTGTTGTGTTAGGAGACACTGTTTTTTGTTAAGGGCGCTATGATGTAAAGGGGGGCAGTGATGTGAAGGGAAAAGAGGACACTGTGGGACTTCTTTAACCACTTACCTAGAGGGCACTTATACCCCCTTCCTGCCCAGGCCAGTTTTCAGCTTTCAGTGCTGACCCACTTTGAATGACAATTGCGTGGTCATGCAACACTATACCCATATGAATTGTTTATAATTTTTTTGAGACAGATAAAGCTTTCTTTTGGTGGTATTTAATCACCTCTGGATTTTTTATTTTTTGCTAAACAAACCAAAAACAACTGTAAATTTGGGGGAAAAAAAGTTTTTCCTTAGTTTTTATTATAAAATGTTGTAAATAAGTGATTATTCTCCTTCACTGATGTGCGCTAATGAGGCTGCAGTGATGGGCACTGATAGGCTGCATTGATGGGCACTGATAGGTGGCACCAGGGGTGGACTGACAACTCATGGGGCCCCTGGGCAATAGGGGATCATGGGGCCCCTGTGTCCTTGCCCAAACTCAAAAAAAGCCTATGAAAAAGGTACCAGGGGCATCTCATGGGGCCCCCTACTGACCCCGGGCCCTCGGGCAGTGCCCAAGTTTCCAAATGGTCAGTCCGCCCCTGTGATGGGCACTGATGAGGAGGCACTAGTAGGTGGCACTGATGGGCATTGACAGGCATCACTGATGGGTACTGTAAGGCAGCACTCATATATGGCACTGATAGGCAGCACTGATAGTTGGCACTGATAGGCGGCACTGACTGGCACTGTTAGGTGGCACTGACTGGCACTGTTAGGCGGGCACTGATAGGCAGCACTGATGGGCACTGATAGACGACACTAACTTGCACTGATAGGCGGCACTGACTGACACTGATAGGCGGCACTGATTGGCAGCACTGATATGTGGCACTGACTGGCATTGATAGGGGGCACTGACTGGCACTGATAGGGGACACTGACTGGCACTGATAGGGGACACTGACAGGCAGCTCATATGGGCACTGATATGTCGTATTGATGTGCACTGATATGTGGCATTGATGAGGCACTGATGGGCACTGGCAGGTGGCATTGATGAGCACTGACAGCTGGCATTGATGGGCACTGACAGGTGGCACTGCTGGGGCTACACTGCTCATCAGGGCACACTGATGTCCCCTCTGAGGAATGCCGATTACTGGCTCTCATCTCCTCTTCTCTCCTCTCCTCTCCTCTCGAGCTGTCAGTGTGACAGCTCGTGAGGAGAGAAATGCCAATAACCAGCATTTCCCTATTTACATGTGATCAGCTGTGATTGGACACAGCTGATCACATGACCGTTCTGACGTCTTCGGCTCTTTCCATTGATCGGTGATCCGCTGTGTCCCAGGGACACAGCGCTTCACTGATCGCCGAGCTGCGCACTCCCGGAGCCGCACACGCGCGGTTAGAGTGGGAGGACGTCAGAACAAGAGAATTGCCTTGCGCCCGTCATTACCTTACATGGCGGGTGGGAGGCGGTTAAAGAGGGGACTGTGATGTACAGGGGACTACAGTGTGAAAGGTACGCTAAAGAACATAATGTATAGGGGGACTGATGTGCTAACAAGATTTGGACCTCTGCTGGAAATTTTGCTGACTGGACCTCCATAAATTTTAATTCAAGACCCCTGTTCTAGTGAATGTAACACTCACTTCCGCTTGCCTGAGAGTGCAGTTGCCCATAGGTGTTTCTGTTGCTTCTTCATTCAGAGTGAGGGCACTCTAAAACAGCAGGTGTGTTACTGGCCATATCACCAGGTTAAAACAGACGGAAAAAAAAAAAAAGAAACTTAATGCAGCCACCACATCTTATGGTTGGCAAACCATATAGCATAGGATTTAGTTTTTTGGTTCCTTCTGTAATCAAGGGAGTGATGACCACTTTCCCTTGTCTGTTCAGGGTTCAGAAGCTTCCAGAGCTTAGGGCAATAGAGTCAAATAACTATGCTGAATATTTATCATGCTCCAGCCAGTCCCTGAAGAGAGGAGTGTTCAGAAGGGGGCTGGAAAGATGGTAAAAAGTCTGAAGCACTGGAGAGCTGGGTTCCTTCTACCCAAGAGGGTTCCAGAGCCTGAAGAGCTGTTTCACTTAGGTAGCCCATGGACTACATAGCTGCTCTAGAAGCCTTAGCTGGCCCAGGGCTGAGGGCTTAGATGGACTGTGCTAGTGGCTGATTGTAGAACTTCACCATAAGGGATCTGGTCTGGAGAAGCACTCATTTACTGGACCATGTCTGGAGGAATCTGGAAGCTGTCATAGGGACTTGTGAGTAAAGACCTTATACTGATCCTTGTGACTGTGTAGTGTTCTAGAGATTGCACTGGGTACCAGCAGTTTTACATTGGTACAAGGTAACCAGATGCCAAAGAGACTTGCCTCATTGTCTTTAGCTGTGAAGCTTTAGACTGCTCAGAGACTTGCCGCATGATCCCCAGCTGTGATGGATTAGAGTGTCCAACCCTTACAAAAACTTAAAATGTCACTAAACCCACATCATAACAAGCTATCAAAAACTATGCAACTATGCTGTATTGCATGCTGTTCATACTCACGCAGTCACTATGGGATTCATTTTCTGTATTCTGCAAAAAATCTGGTTGATCCTGCTGTTCTGTATCTCTCCCTTCTGTCCATGGCCCCTATGCAGTCCAAAATTTTGCAGAGCAGTGTTGGCAGCTACTGCACATGATCAGTTTTCAGTGTGTTTCTATGCTGAGCATTTTCTCCCTACCACATCTGAGCAACAGCCCTCTCCCTCCCTCCTCCTCCATGCCCACTTAGCAGTTAAACACAATGGGGGAATGGGATATTACATCTTGATTGACGGAGGCTTCACCTCCCTGTTATTCTAATACACAGGCTGGAGGGGCGTGACACAGCCTGTGACTGTCAGAAAACTACCCACATCACGTTACTGCTAAAAAATAAATAACAGATGTGATTTTATATATATATATATATATATTTATATATATATATATATATATATATATTTGTATGACAATTTAAATCAGTTTTTTTTTATATCAATTATTTATTTTTACTCTGTATCACAGTTTTTTTTATTTTGAACATGTGACTGGTAGCAGAAAACTAGAAGCTCCTCCTGCTTATGTTTCTATACAGACAGGCTGGGAAATAGCTGGGTCATGTGAGAGCTGTATATCAATTAGGAAAAAGGTTGGGTTTTTTTTCAGTTAAAATAATTACTTGTAGACCAGTTAACACCAGCCGCCCACCTACTAGTGCCTCCTCATCAGGTGGCGCTACAACTATAGTAAATTTTTGGTTTTTATGTTTAATACCACTTTAAGGCAGCAGAATTTAGACAGTGACAGTGTGGGGATAATCCCATAAATCACACAGAACTTAGTCTAATTATAGTCATCCCCTATAGTAGGAGTTTCCTATTTGACAAGATCATTTTAAAGATCCTTGCACACATAAAAGAAAGCTGTAATTTTGCTGACTGCAGTATGGATCAGCTGGTTATAGTAAATGCATACATTCCCATTTAGTTTTGGAAAGTGCTAGCGAGGCCAACATCACTGTCTTCGGGAGAGGCAGGAGTGTGCTGTAAATGCAGCTAAAATCCTTGTAAAGTATATAGTTCACCTATTGATTGATTTTTTTTAGCAAAAAAACCTGGGCATTTCATTTGTGCAGGAATGATCTTTAGATCAGAGGGTAATATTTAGGCCTTTAAAACTTCTGTCTATGGTATTTATCTCCAATACATCTCTATTGTCCTGACTCTCAACTACTCTGTACTCCAAGCCTGCTGCTCTGAAGAATCAGCTATCAGCCCTATATACACTTACTGTACATGGCTCAAAAACTGATTGTAAGCAATCAGAGAATAAACATGAGCCAGGAGGAAAATGTATTTCTCAGACTTGAAAACACAAAGTTCACTGATCTTTTATTTAAAGTAACCTACCCTTGCCAAATGCATAACTACCACCATTAGGGCCCATTCACAATAGGAACTGCATGTGAATCGCACAGTAATGCTGTGTGGTTCCTGCGCAATTCACATGCAGTTCTGTGCACTGCGATTGCAGCCCTTTTAATTTTGAATGGGCTGAAATCACACCACACCAAAAATATTGCATGCATACTTTTGTACCATGTGATCCAGTGCAAGCAAATGCACTGAATTTGTGATCTGCATTTAGGGTGGAATTAACTTTGAACTGAACCCTGCAGCAGATTGCGAGGGCATTGCGATCAGAATGCGGTGTGGGAAGCTGCGCAGAAATACAGCTCTCCTGCACTGCATTTTAGTGTGAACAGGCCCTTATGTGGCCTTCTGCAATATTTACATTTACACGCTGAAGACAGTCAGAAGACATTCCCACGGGAGTCGGGTAATACTGTGCAGGGTAAATTTATGCTTTGCCCCTCCCTCTTTAGAGCTGCAAGTACTTTCTGTTTGCCCCCTGATACCCTGTTTCTCCAATGGAGAAAAGTGAAAAGGTCCATTGTAAGATCTAACCAATTTAGGTAAACCATGGAATCTCTCCTCACCCCCATGTGAGAGTTGTGCTGCCTTGTAATGAGACACTCGGGTATTCAGTGTTGCTAGATGAAGATCCTTTACTCAGTGAGCAAATAATATACAGGTTGGATGTTAGAATAAATTTTGAAGCAAGCAGTTTATGGTGTTGGTAAATTCTTGTTTCAATGTATGTATCATACTGAAGGGGAAGAACATATTTGAAGAGAAACAGAAGGATTTTGTTGTAGAACAGGAGCACATCTGTTGAAGGGACCATTAGGATCCAGACACTCCAGACAATAAGGTAAGCACATACACAGGGGCGGACTGACAACTCATGGGGCCCCCGGGCAATAGGGGATCATGGGGCCCCTGTGTCCTTGCCCAAACGCAAAAAAGCCTATGAAAAAGGTACCAGGGGCATCTCATGGGGCCCCCTACTGACCCCGGGCCCTCGGGCAGCGCCCGAGTTTCCAAATGGTCAGTCCGCCCCTGCACATACAGTATAATGTACTATATAGTAAATAGATGTATAAAGAGACCGGGCACAAAACAATAGCAGCAATGTTTTCGAATAGTGTAGCGCTACCCTCACAGGAGCCGCTTGGTAATTTGGGCTCTCTGTTCTGCGTCTCAACTCAATGAACAACCTCAGCCCCTCTGACACACCTGGTTGAATGGAAGTTTCTGCAAGCACTTATAAGAACATATATATACCTTTACTCAGTTGTGAATTAGTACCAGGAAATAGACACAAGATCATTTAGGGGTAAATTAACTCAATGGGGTTGATTTACAAACATCGGATAGTGCAAAATCTGGTATAGTTGTGCATGGTAGCCAATCAGCTACTAAATTTAGCTTGTTCAATTAAGCTTTGGCAATAAAACTTGGAAGTTGATTGGTTTCTCTACAGTACTGGACCAGATTTTGCACTCTCCAGTTTTAGTAAATAGTCCCCACTGCATTGGTAGAATAAATGGTGGTTTCAGCATAAATGAACACACAGAAGATAGGTTCAGACACAGTCCGCTAGATAGTATAATCACTATGCCTAGGTGATTTAGAATAGAGATCTGTACCACTAGACTGGGAATAACTCATGAATCAGCAAAGTCAGCAATAAACAGTCTATATAGGCATTAAGTGCAATGTGATTAATAATTATATAACTAGTCTGGAGTACACTCTAGGAGAATGGCTACGATATGTTGCAATGTCCACTGAGAGGTACCTCTTATCATAAGCAATAGCTGAAGGTCTCTGTGTAGTGGCAGTAAAGGGACAGTCTATAGTCCTAACTCTTCAGCTGGCTAGCATTGCTGCCCAGTTGTATCATTGCTGCACTTGAGAATTGGCCCAGTCAAGCCTGCAGGCAGCAATAAGGCTATGCGATGGCTGTATGGTCAGTTCCTAAAGGGCTCAGTCTCTCTAACAGCAGATAGTAAATCCCCACAGCAGAAGTTCACCAGTCCCAGTAATATTGCAGCTCTCCTTTCGGTCACAGACAGCGATTAGTCCAAACTCTGCTCTGCACCCAGGTGACTCTGGCTGCCCCCACAAAGTCATTGCTCTGGATCCTGTTCAGGCTGCCAATATGCAGCAGAGATGGTGCACA